CCGCGTCCGCGCCCCGACCAAGCGGAGGGCCGCGGCTGCGGGGTGCCCCGGGGCCGCCCGAGGTCGGCGCGCCGGGCGCGGCCCGCGGCTCACCATGGTCCCGAGCTGCTCCCGCGGCGGCTTCGAATGGATCTGGGCGCGCGGGACCGGGAGCCGCCGGGCCGAGCCCGCCAGGCCCCGCAGCAGCAGCGGCGTGAGGACGGACATGACGGCGCGGAGGCAAGCCGGAGTGCGGCCAGCCAGCGCCCAAGGTCAGGAAGCCAAGATGGCGGCGCCCGCCGGAAGTTCCGGGCCGCGGAGGCCGGTACACGGCGGCCGTGAAGACTACCGGAAATGACGCAACGGTCCGGCTTTCGCTGTCTCCGGGAGTTTTTGGCGCGCTTCTCGAAATAGCCAATAGGCACCTTCTGATGACGGTGGGCGGGGCCTGAGGGGCGGGCCTTTCATTCATATCCGGCCTCTAAGGCGGCCTAGCTTTATGAGTGACATCCGTAACCATCCAATCATATAAGAGAGAAGACGACATTGCACTCCTGACTCCGCCTTCCATTCATTCTCTTAAACCTGTCTCTATTCCGCGCTCCCCTGCTCTCTGCCGGGCGGTTCCCGGACTCTCCTCGCTTACTTTACCCGCTCCAATGCCCTTCTCCATGCTGAGGCTCCAACCTACCGTCTTCCCTCCATCCCTCAACGTCCATCCCCTCCTTTCTTCTTTTCTGCTCACTTCCACCCCTTTTCCTTTTTCTTTCTTTTTTTTTGAGTCGGAGTCTCGCTCCGTCGCCCAGGCTGGAAGGCAGGGGCACGCTCCCGGCGACCGCAGCCTCCACCCGCTGGGCTCCGGCGATCCTTCCGCCTCAGGCTTCCGAGTAGCTGGAACTACAGGCGCGTGCCTCCACGCCCGGCTCATTTTTGATTTATTGCAGAGATGAGGTCTCACCAAGTTGCCCAGGCGGGTCTCGAACCCGCGGGCTCGGGAAATCCACTCACCTCAGCCTCTCAAGGCGCGGGATTACAGGCTGAGCCACCGTGCCCGGCCTACCCCATTCTCAAGGTGCTATTTTTGTTTTTGTTTTTTGAGTCGCGATCTCACTCTATTGCCCAAGCTGGAGTGCAGTCGATCACGAAGGTAGCGGCTCACAGCAGCTTCGACCTGCTGGGCTCAGATGATCCTTCCACTTCAGCATCCTGAATAGCTGGAACTATAGGTGCACCACTATGCCTGGCTAGTTTGCTGAATTTTGGTAGAGATAGGGGTCTCGCTATGTTGCCCAGGCTGGTCTCAAACTTTGGCTCAAGCAATCCTTCCACCTTGGTCTCCCAAAGTGCTGGGATTACAGGCGTGAGCCACCGTACCTGCGCAGACATTAAAACATCTAATGATCAAGGTTCCAGAGAAGACAAAATGAAAAATTTCCCAGAACCAAAGGAAGTGAGCTTTCAGATTGAAAGGAGTAACCGAGTGCCTTGGCATGATACATAAAAACAGACCACATCATGGACATCACGGTAAAATTTCAGAGCACTGGCCAGGCTCAGTGGCTCAGCCTGTCATCCCAGCACTTTGGATTGCCTGAGCCCGGGGGTTCGAGATCCGCCTGGAAAACTTGGCGAGACCTCGTCTCTACAATAAATAAAAAACTAGCCAGGCATGGCAGCGCGTGCCTGTAGTCCCGGCTACTTGGAAGGCCGAGGTGGAAGGATTGCCTGAGCCCAGCAGGTCGAGGCTGCAGTGGCCGGGAGCGGCCACTGCACTCCAGTCTGGGCGATAGAGTGAGACTCCTACTCAAAAAAAACAAATCCACATGGAAATCGTGTCTTTGCAGTCACCATCTTGGCTCTTCACGAGGTAATGCCAGTTCTCTCCTG